GGATTTACGTTTGGTGTTTGGTGGTCGGACATACCGAACGTACAGAGAAGCCTCATAATTCGGCTGGAACGTACCAAAACAAGTCAACCAGGGCGATGTCCGTAGGGCCGTTGAATATGTGGATAGCGTTAATTATGTCCTCCCCGTCCCTATCAATGGTAACAAAATCTCGCATTAAACCAAGGCCAGTGACACGAAAACAATCTGGGAGGGAAATCTCCCGAGTACCGAACCAGACCGCGAGAGGGTCATCCACCCGGTGTTGTGAGTCAACCGCCTACCGTCATTGACAATCGAGCGATAAAAAAATGGAAGAAAAAAGGGAAATAGGAAAGGAGGAAAAGAAGGAAAAGAGGGACAGAGATAAAAAGGAGAACGGGGAAAAAGGGGACCAAAAAAGGGGAGAAAGGAAAAGGAAAAGGAGAGGAGAAAAAGAAAAAGGGAGGGGACATGAGGGACGGGGGGGGGGGAAGGAGAAGAGGAGAAGGGGGGGGGAGGAAAAGAGAGAAAGAGGGAAGGAGGGAGAAGAGCGGGGAGGGACATGGAGGGGGGGGGAGAGGATGGGGGGAGGGAAAAGATAGGGGGGAAGAAAGGGAAGTATCTGACGGGGGAGAGGGGGGGGGAGGGGGGGAGAAGGGGGGAAAAAGGGGGGGGATGAAAAGAATAGGGAAACAGCACTATTTTTTCCTCTTTCGCCGTCATTTCGCTCTTTCGTGTCGTCGCTGGCCGCGAATGCAATGCCGCGCGACCATCGACCGGTAACCAGGAAATGTAGTGAGTTCAACCTCAATCCGCAATCAACGGCTGACAAAGAAACCGGCAAACGAATCATCAGATGTCTTCCGCGCGCATTAATTACCAGAGCGCATGTGGGACCAGCACGTAACACATCCCGGCTGAAGAAAGAAACCATCGTTCTGGTCGACAAAAGTGTAAAATGAGCGAAATACTTCGCGCGCGAAGGTTGGCTGACGCGACACCAGGGTTCGAACGGGTGGGAAAGATCCGGACAAGTGCGTACCTTCGGTGATCGGATGAAAGAATGTGGTCGATAATTAGACCGCCAATTCCGTGGAAGTGTAACGCGCCAACGGGAAGGCCATCCCTGGACCGGGCTTCGTACCATCAGACCACCCCCGATGCCGTGCGGACACATTCGCCTGCAAAGGCCAGTTTCGCTTCATCGTCTCCGCACGTCAACCGAGATTGTGGCTAGTCTTGATGATGCGAGTATCCCAAACCATATAGCTGTCCGGACAAGCGGGTTCAAGCATATGGACAGCATCTGAAAAAACAAAAGCGATAGGGCGATAACGGCCAAAAAGGGCCATGCGGGTGTTCAAGACCAGAAAGGTCCTGCGGTTATGGGTGTCGGAAAAAAAAACATCGACAGCTGGCTGGCCACCAAGAGAAGCGGTGCGTGAAGAAACGGTCGACCCGAGCGATAGGGGGCGTGAGGTCAATACATGCAGATCAAACTGCCCTGGGTCTCGCAACCAACACGTTTTCAGGGTACCATGCGCAAGAAATTCTGAATTTAATGATAAATTTCTACACTAAAGAACGAAAAAAAAACATCTGATAGCGGGCTTTGGCCCCTAATTGGCGCCCCTATAAAACCCAAGCAAAGGACCGACTCACTGGAGTTGGCATCGTAGATACGGACAGGAGAAAAAAGGGGGAGACGTGCTCATAACTCCAGAAGAAGGGGAATTAGGAACAGGTGTAGAGTAAAAAACGCAGGCGCGGCGGCGACAAAATACCCGGCGCGAACAGACCAAGAACCTAGAAGCGGGCCACAAATCCACCCTAAGGGAGGGAAAGGGGGAACAGAACGGCCAACGCCAACGGGTAGCTGATGGCGCAGAGCGACGAGGGAAAAGAAGCCAAAGCGGGGGCAGCATGAGTTTGGTTGATAAAAGGCGTGATAATGAAAATGTGGGCCATTGACTCCAAGAGAAGAGAATGGTTGTTGCGCACAATTTAATGCTGTGTAACATAATCCTAAAGTTCAAAGAACCAGAAAAAACGTGCAAGTAAAACCGTTATGTTGAAAAACGGTGAAATTAAAGAAACCAAACCAAAAAGGCAAATAGGGGTTGGATATGATCTCGGGTAAAAAAAATGGGGGTTCGTAGTAGGAAGAACAAGAAAAACGTGGTTTAAGTCGCATGCAGTAAGTACACTCAGAGATCCCCAACCGATGCCAAAGGAAAAACACCCAGAAATCGACCGGAGAAAAGGAACCGAAAAAAAATCGCGCCAAAGACTAGCCGACCATCAAAGGCGCTAACACAACAGGCTGTTAGGTCTGTCATAATGTGTGGAAGAAAGCAGCCATGCAGACAGAAGAGGGAGGGGCGTCACGAAGCGATGAAACAGAGGAATCTGGAGGGTGAGGCTGAACGGGCGGGAGGTCGAAATGGAAAGTCTGGTCGGGCGAAACCGGCGCGGGTTTATACTGAACTGCAACGTTGATAAGGTGGGCACCGGACTACGGGTCTCAAAAGAAGAAGGTGCATGGAGCACCGTGTGTAAGGGGGCACTCGCCGGGACACTAACGAAGATGGGGGTACAGGCTAATGGAGACTGGTGGGGGCGCAAGGGTGCCAGGCTTCTCACGAGTTTACTTAAGGTCACGAGTTGAGGACGGCACAGGAAAAAAGGGAGGGAAAAGCCTTGGGCGCAACCTAAAACTCGGCTGGCAATAATATTCAATCGTGCCAGTGTAGCCGTGTTATCCGGACCGCAGCGGGTGTTGTGAAGATTTCCTGTCGGACAACTCAACGACTGCGCTGGCCGCGCCTGTGCGGGGGAAATTTTAACCGTACAAAACAAGACGACACCAATACAATAAAAGTGGCGAACGAGCACATAAAGTTAGGCTATATGGTAACATGGTCGGTAATCATGAATTTAGGCGGTAACACGGCCTTCCGGTATTTGAGGAAATGAAACACCGCACCAAGATCTCGGTTGTCGTGAAAGGCATGGCGAACTACATCATCGTATGAGTATACATGGAGACCCAAAACCAACCTAAAGAAAGGGGGCTGTAAGCCGGCGTAAAGAGGCCGGGGTAAGAACATACCCGTGACAAAAAAAGGCGCCTAAAGATCGACTCGTATGAGACATAGTAGCCAAATCAAGCAGGGGCACATGCAATGAGAGGAAAGGGGGGGAAAGTACCCCGTCACTGGAGTCGCTTGTCGACAGAGGCCAGGCCATATGCGTTCGGAAGCGTGGGGGGCTGAAACGGACTGGAATACCAACCGGGGCAAAAAGAAAAGCCGGTTGAGTGTGAAGTACATTGACTGAAAAAACACCGGTCGGGAAAGAGGGGGGGAAATAGGAAAAAATCGCCTCGACGCAACGTTCAAAACCGTCGACATGTGTGCGATGCAGAAGAGTTAACAGCTGTGCGAGCCTGGTTACACCCCGTAAAGGCGTACTGAGAGCAAAGGAACGGGACGAGGTGGCTAGTAAGCGGTCGGGGGGGGGGAAAAAGTGAAAACTTGGGGTTGTCAGAAATGGTGCGGTTATAGGACATGGCAATCAATCAAAGTGCCCTGCTACCTCATCATCATCGCTAACATTGCAGTGGTACCGGAAAGCCCAGCGGGGCGTGGTCAGTAATGAGGACCCAGTAAAGATAATTGGACGAGCCGGACTGGCCAACAAGAAAGGCAAACGGTCTGTAATTCGGCGTCCATGAGGAAATAGACACCCACTGTCTGACCGGAGAAAACAAGAAAAAAAGAGGGGGAAAATTAATTGGTATAAATCCAAAAGGAGAAAGTGGCGTTCTGATGCAACAATATTCGTCAGCCAATGTTCGCGGTGAGCTGGTAACCGCAAAAGGTTTGCGGTGCGCCGACCACAATCAATGTTTAAGCCCCCACTGGCGGAGCCTACCGTAAATCGCCCCGGCACCGCCCAAGCGTAACGTCAAAAAAAAAAGGCCTACGCGCTGGACGAGGCCAGGGCCCTGGTCGATGATGTCCGACGGGGGCAAGAGCCTGGATACGAGGCACGCTCTGTCACGTAAAACTGTGGGTGACTCGCCGGCGATGGTGTCCACACTGACGTGGGGGGTCAAAACAATTCACAAAGTTGCAGGCCGCGCCGGCTCCATCGAGCACGGCTGCTACCTGGCCGTCAATCCCGACTGGATCAAGATGATGGCCGACCAGGGCACCTTCTTCACGCCCACCTTCGAGGTGTACGACTTCCACAGCACCGTCAGCGCACCCCACATCAAGGTGCGGGCCGAGGCTTTGATGGACGTCCACATCAAGAGCGTGGAACTGGCCATCAAGGAGGGTGTTCGCATCGTTGCCGGCACCGACGCCGGAGGGTTTGTCCACGGCGACAACGCCCGCGAACTGGAACTGATGGTTGAGAAGGGTATGAGCACCATGCTCGCCATCCAGTCGGCCACCGGCCACGCGGCGGTGTGCTGCGGGCTGGGCAACGACGTTGGCACCATCGCCGTCGGCAAGCTGGCCGACATTTTGGTCGTAGATGGCGACCCGCTGCGGAACATTTCGGTACTGCGCGATCGCGAACGCCTGCTGATGATTATGAAAGGCGGCGAACCCTACAGCAACCGCCTGCCGGCTTTGAACCTGCAACCAGCCTAACCGGCATTGCACAATACCGGGAGCGCCAATCCGTTGGGATTTCGCGCTCCCAAGGCAACGTAGCAGAGCTGAGCGCCGGCCATGCGGTTTCACATTCTGACCCTGTTTCCAGAGGCATTTGCCGGCGCTGCTGAATACAGCATGATGGGGCGGGCAGTACAACGGGGACTGGTGTCGGTAAATGTCGTGGACATCCGCCAGTTTACCGAAGATCGGCACGGCACCGCCGACGATTACCAGTTCGGCGGCGGTCCCGGTATGGTTCTGAAACCGGAACCCACCTTCGCTGCGGTCGAAAAAATCCTGGCCTCCCTGCCGGCGGACGACGCGGCAAACACCCCCGTCGTGCTCACATCGCCACAGGGCAGTCGGTTCAACCAGCGTCTCGTCGACGAGTTCGCGGCCGCGCCCGCCCTGGTTATCATCTGCGGCCACTATGCCGGCGTTGACGAACGCATCCGCACCAACCTGGCCACCCACGAAGTGAGCATCGGCGACTACGTGCTCACGGGCGGGGAGCTGCCGGCGATGGTGATGGTCGATGCTGTTTCGCGCTTCATCCCCGATGTGGTCGGTTCGGCGGAAAACGTGCAGGAGGACAGCATCACCTCCGGGTTGCTGCAACACCCGCTATACACCCGCCCCGCCGACTTTCGGGGTATGGAGGCTCCCGAAATCCTGCGGTCCGGCAACCACGCCGCCATCGATCAGTGGCGCCGCCGCCAGTCGCTGGAACGAACCTTCCGCCTGCGGCCCGACCTGCTGCCCGCCGCCCACCTCAGCAACTCCGACCGAGCCTACCTGGCCCAGTTGGGCTGGCCCGTCGACGGCAACGAGCCGTTGGCAGAATAACCGTGCTGCGCAACGAATTCAGGTTCTCCGCGCCCGTGCGCGTGCGCTGGCAGGAATGCGACGCTCAGGGCATCGCGTTCAACGGCAGCTATCTGGGCTGGCTGGAAGTTGCCCAGGCCGAGTACTTCCGGAACATGGGCTTCAGCATCTACCGCATCGCCGCCTGCCGGATCCTATCTGATCCGCGCGCGCTATGTCAGAGTAAAGCCATCGATATCAAGGCCCGGCCCGGTCGACCAGATGCTGGACTCTCGGGCAAAAGCGCGTTACCCCACATCTGGCACACTCTCAACCAGCCTCACCTTGCTGGTCGCAATTTACGGGCCGGACGGCGGCCCTGACCAGCCAGCCATGACCACCATCGAGTCGATTTACGTTGGTTCTAGGGTCCGACACCGTACCGTTAACGAAACGCGCCGTGTCCATTGACTCCATTCGCGTCACTGTCGAGCGTACGAACTGACCGGTGAAGTGCTGTCCGCCGGACCGACTATCCTTTTGGTTCAGAGCTGGCCGCCGCCAGGGGAGCAGTCGTTCACCCCTTGGCTAACCATCAGACCACTCGGCGGGTGAGTCGCCATTCCCGGTTTGATTACCTGCGCTTCGCACAGCAAGTCCTTCCCTGACATGACTCGCGGCAGATCGCGAACATGGCGGTGTGAGTTTCACCGTCGTAATGCCGTAGCGGTTTCGCCAGGCGCGAGGCCACGCGCTGGTCTACCTCCGCCGGCGTCAGCCTGGGCAAAGGAGTGTCGGATGCCACTGGTTGCTACCCGCCACAACGTGACGGTAACGCGGACGTGGTGTTTGTGTAGGTATCGGCGCGCGTTCGTCAGCAAAGATGGTGTCCAGAGTCTTGAAGATTGTGGTGAAGCACTCGTGCAGACTCAGGTACCGCGCCGGACCGGATTGGGTGACCAGCATACCGCCCGGTTTCAATCGGGCCCGGGCGATGTTGTAATACTCTTCCGTATACAACAGATAAGCCGGGCCGCCCTCCAGTGGGTCTACCAAGTCCATGACCATCACATCGAATTGCTGGCTGCTGTTTTCGAGGTATTCGCGGGCATCGCCGAACACCAGCTCGGCCCGCGGGTCGTCAAAGGCTCCCTGATGGTGTTGCGGCAGATGCTCCCGACACAGGTCAACCACCTGCTGGTCCAGGTCCACCATGACCACGTGCTCCACGCTCCGATGCGCCAGGATTTCGCGCAACGTGCCGCCCTCGCCGCCGCCGCCGATGAAAACGTGGCGGGGGTCGGGATGCATCACCAGTGCCGGATGCACTAGCGTCTCGTGGTAGATGTGCTCGTCGCGTTCGGTGGATTGCGTCTTGTTTCCGTCTCCACCACAGGCTGCGCCATCACCATCGTAGTGACACCTCACCCAGCTGGAAACCGGTGTGTCCCGAATAGAGCACATCATCCACCTTGAGCATAATTGCCAAGTCCGGCAGCACGGTTTCGATAACCCACTTGCCGGTGATTTCATCCATTGGGTAACTGGCCAAAACAACACCAAATTAACGCCGAATGACGCAGAAAGTCGTTTCCGTAATGCCGGCTGACGCGAGGCCGGTCGGATGGGGTCTGGTCGCCTAACGGACCAGGGGCGCCGGATGAATGTCTACCACGTTGGCGCCGTCAAGGCCTCTTCGGATCTGGGTAATCTCCGGGTCCTGGCACCGTAGGGCAGCGATGATATAAGCAGCGGCGCGGTCAGGCTTGGTCTGGTCGCCGCAGGTAAAGATGTCCGCCGCCGCGTAACCGTGCTCCGGCCACGTATGAATGGAAATATGGGATTCGGCGATAGACAGAATACCAGTCACCCCCTGCGGGCTGAACTGGTGGAAAGATTCCCCAATGACGTGGGCATCTACTGTGGCTGCGGCGTTCAACAGTTGTTCGCGGATATACACCAAATCGTCAAGCAATTGGGGGTCGCATTCTCGAAGTTCCAGCAGCACATGAGTACCTAATACATTCAATCAACCTTTTCTCCAGATAGTTTAGGCGACTCGCACCAGTCTACAGCAACCCGAAATATCCTCCCGGTAGCAGTCGCAATCTAGGATTTTACCGAAGTTTGCGCCCCGATTCAAGCAGACCCCCAGTTTCGCCGCACCCTGTCGACCATCGCCACCAACCAATTGTTTCCTTATCTCCGTCAATATCTCGGTCAATGTTGTCGCCGCCATTCTGGATTTCTTATCCCCGTCATCCCGGCGCAAGACCGGAATCCAGCTCTGCCCACCGGCAGCCATCCCCCTGCGGCCCAGAGCTTTCTGGCTCGCCGGCCTCATTGCAACGACGCGTGTATGTGTGTTCCAGGGGCGCCGCCGTGATATCTCCCAAGCGACCCCGGATGGTACGCAGCGCCTCATGCGACCCCACTTCTCATTGCGAATGTAGCGTGGCAATCTCCTCGCCGTAGCAACGACGGTTCGCCGACGTGTGTTCAACCTCATCGAGATTCCCGCTCGTCCTGAGCCTGTCGAAGGATGCTCCCAATGACAGAATAAAGTGGGTGCGCACGACTACGCAACGTTGATTGACACCACCCCGGTCGGGCTCTACCATGAATGCGTGGTCGTGCTACACGGGGAGCTGGCGGTGCCCTATACCCTCAATCCGCCATAGCGGGGTGGAATCCCTCCCCTCGGCAAGGCGCAAGGGCCGCTGTCACAGGGAATGGCGCTGACGGCCGGGTCCCACGCGGCGCAGGCTTGTGAACCCCGCCAGGTCCGGAAGGAAGCAACGGTAAGCGATGTCCAGCGAGTGCCGTGGGAGTGCCTGGCCCGAGCCACTACCTACGATATGCCCCCAGGCTGCTGTCAACGGGAGGTGCTCGACCACTTGCATAACTCATACCTTTGCTCCGCTGCCCATATTGAGCCCAATGATTGCCACCGGCAGGGCGATTAATTGTTCCGACTATGCTAGACACCACAGTTGGTTCGTCGCCGGCGCGCCGCCCTCGCAAATCGTTGGGGCAGCATTTCCTGACCGACACCCGCATCGCCAATCGGATCGTCGCCGCCGCCGATCCGTCACCCGCCGACACTATCGTTGAAATCGGTCCCGGTTCCGGTATCCTGACCAGGCGACTGGTGCAAGTCGCCGGCCAGGTGGTTGCCGTGGAGCTTGACCCGGCCCTGGCTGCCAGGTTATCCGAGCGCATCGGCAATCCCGACAACCTGAAAGTCCTGCCAGCCGATGGACGCACCGTTGAAATTTCCGCGTTGTTTGACGACGGCGGGCCGTACAAACTGGTAGCCAACCTCCCATATTACGCGGCATCCCCCATCGTGCGCCGATTCCTGGAAGCCGCGCTTCATCCCACGCTGTTGGTGGTAATGGTGCAACGCGAGGTGGCAGCCGCCATGTGCGCACCGCCCGGTTCAATGACCCTGCTGTCGGTTGCTACCCAATTCTACGCCGTGCCGTCGGTGGTAACGCAGGTGCCGGCACGCTCGTTCCGCCCGCCGCCTAAAGTGGCTTCCACGGTGGTGAAACTGGTGATGCGGGACAAGCCGCCGGCGGACGTTGACGATACCAGCGAATTTTTTTCCCTGGTTCGGGCCGGATTTGCCGCTCCCCGGAAACAGCTGCGCAACTCGCTGGTGCAAGGTTCCGGATGCCCGGCAGAGATTGTTTCCCCGGTGCTGGAGGCGGCCGGCATCGACGGGCAGCGTCGCCCGGCCACTTTGACGATTCCGGAGTGGGCGGCCCTCAACACCGGGTGGCCGCAAAACACCCCGCGCCATCGCGACCTGCGACCGACGGCCGGCAGCGATGGTCGCCGACACCACCGAACCCGATAATCCAGGACGCGGCAAGTTGCAGGTTCCCGCTTACGCCAAGGTCAACCTGACGCTGGAAGTCATCGGGCGCCGGGATGACGGTTACCACGACGTTGCCACCCTCCTGCAAACCGTCGACCTGGCCGATACCCTGACCCTGCAACCCTCTGATGCTTTGGCGGTCACGTGCGACGACCCGGCGCTTTCTGGTGAGGCAAACATAGTTTGGGTGGCGGCCAATGCGCTGGCGCGACGGGCGGGCATCACGCCAGCTGCCAGCATCCACATCACCAAACGCATCCCGGTAGCGGCCGGCCTGGGCGGTGGTTCGGCGGATGCGGCGGCGGCGCTGATTGGTCTGAACCGCCTTTGGCAACTGAACCTGGGGTCGGATGAATTGGCGGAACTGGCGGCAACACTGGGCTCCGATGTGCCGTTCCTGCTCGCCGGAGGCACAGCTCTCGCCACCGGCCGCGGCGACCGGCTCTCCGCACTGCCAGCCCTGCCGGCAACCGCCGTATTGTTGGTGGTATCCCGCGACACCATTGACGCCAAAACGCCGACGCTGTACCGTGCGCTGGCCGCTGGCGATTTCACCGACGGCGGCCACACCCACCGATTGGCAAACCAACTGTCGCATACCTCGCCAACGTCAACCGATTGCCGAAATGCTTTTGAGCGTGCCGCGCAATCAATCTTTCCCGGCCTCTCCGACGTATGGGATATTGTGGCTTCGATAACCAGACATACACCTCGCCTCTCCGGCGCCGGCCCGACCATCTTCTGTCTGCCATCCTCCGAAACTGAGCATATGAGGGTTCAGGTCGCCTTGCGGAACACCGGCGCAACGGCGTACCTTGTGCGAACGCTCAATCCGGCCCACGTCGGTAACTGAATCTCCGAACAACCGCAGGAATATTTAATCGATGGACATCCTCGCAGTCATCAGCATCCCGTTCGACCCGGACATTATCCGCATGGCGGGTTTCCAGGTGTCCTGGCACGGGTTCTTTACCTTCGTGTCGGTGGCCGTGGCCGTCTACCTGACCTGGCGCTGGGGCCGGCGCGATGGTCTCAACGGCGACGCCATCCTGTCGACGGCCACCTGGTGCATCATCGGCGGGTTGATTGGAGCGCGCATCCTGCACGTCATCGACTTCTGGGACGACTTTTACCAGTACAACCCGGAACGCATCGTTTATTTCTGGAGCGGCGGCATCGCCATATTCGGCGCCTACCTGGGAGGTTTCGCCGGCGGCGCCAGCTACATAGTGCTGCGCAACGCGACCTGGTTCATTCGCCTCTGGGATCGCGCTGGATTGCGCTGGTCCGGACTGCACCGCAAGTTCCCAGAAGTACCGCCCGTCGGGCATCTGGCTGACATCGCAGCGCCGGCGTTGCTCATTGCGTTGGCTATCGGCCGCATCGGCGACGTGATCAACGGCGAACACCTGTCCAGCTTCACCTCATTGCCCTGGGCCTGGATTTACACCGACCCGGACAGCTTCGGCTACGGGCGCCCGGCCTCGCATCCGGCGGTGGCCTACGAACTAATCTTCTGCCTGGTCTGGGCGGGAGTGCTCTGGCTGATGCGCGATCGCATCCGGCCCCACGGTATGCTCTTCGCCCTGTTCTTCGCCGGCTATTCAGCGGGGCGATTCTTCATATCCTTCGTGCGGCAGGAGCAAAACACCTATCTGTTTGGCTTCAACGAAGCCCAATTGGTGGCGCTGGCCATTATGCTGGTAACCGTGCCTCTGCTCATCTATCGGGCTCGATTGGTGCGACCCGAGCGCCGCACGACCTCAACCGCCGGCGAGTAATCCGCCAATCGGCAGGGCAACCGTAATTGTTCAGGCCTGAGGGGAAGTGGACAGTTGTCGGCAGGCGGTGAGGGGGTTGAAGCCTTGTACGCGCCAGGTGCCGAAGATTGAGGCCAGCGTCATCTTGGTGTTAGTGCCCGCTGCAGAGCGTGTGCCACCGCTGATTTTACGGCTGATTACCACCGGTCGCAGGCTGCGCTCGGCGGCGTGTGTCCGGCGGGACTTCCGGTTCAGCCACAAAGAGGAAGAGTTCCTTGATGTGGTTCTCCATGCGTCGGCACAGCCTGGTTGGGGGGCCGGTGGGTCATCCTGGTAGGTACGGCAGAGGGCCAGCAGGCGCTGTTCCAGGGCCAGTTGGGCGGTGCGCCGTTGCTGCGCTGGCCGTTGCTGGTCTGAAGGATGGGTGAAGGCGGTCTCGCCTGACGGTAGAGTTGGTGGATGGCGTCAGCCCATTGGGCCAGCCGGTCATCATACCGGTCATCATCGGGGTAGAGTGCGCGCAGGTCGTGGATGTCCGCAACAGTGGCCCACAGGGTTGCTTGGGGCCGTCGTGAATGGTGATAGGCGGCCGTAGAAGTCGCTGACCAGCACGCCAGCGAACTGATCGCCAGGACTCTCATCCACCACGGCCTGCGCCGGCCCCGACGCAGGAAGGTAGCGCTCGGTGGGTGGGTGCTGAAGGTCCACACGTAGCCGTGTGTCCGTCCTCACGCCAGCCGGTCTCATCGGCATGGACCACGGCATGGACCACCGGACTGCCTCGGATGCGTTCCAGAATGCCCGTCAGTTCAGCCTGGGCGCTTGCGAGCCACCCTTTGCGTGGCGTCCACGATGGCTCCCAGGCTGAGGCGCAACCGGACCCGCCAGCCGTGTAGACCACTGGATGGTGCTGGAAGGCAGCCTGGCCTCCTCCCCGCAGGGCGGCAATCAGGCTGATCAGGCAGGCTGATCAGGTTGACCCCCAGACGTTGCTTTCCCATCACCACGCCGTCCAGTTGCGCGGTGGGCGTACAACAGCGTTGGCACTGTGGGCAGGTGCGGGCGTATAAGCGTGCTCGGTTACCGGCACCGGACCCGGGGCAGGGTCAATCAATTCCCGAGTGCGCTGGGTCCAGCCACCGGACAGCTGGGTTCCAAAGTCGGGACACTGTTCACCAACGTGTTCCACCCGCTGGGTGGGCGTCATGCGGGTGCGAGCAAAGCCGTGGGGCCGAGGCTTGCTGTGGGTTCTGGGCTGGGCCGGCTGCTGCTCGGCTTTGGGCTTCAGACCGGGCATCCTGCGGGTGCCGCCCAATTTGTCCCGCCCTTCCAACTGGGCGATCCGTTTCTCCAGGCTCTCGATGATGCCCTGTTGCCTCTCAATAGATGGCAATCAGCACATCCCGGTCCGCAGTGCTGAGGTCGATTTCCGCATCCATCCCAGATATATGACATAACCACCTCCCCCAGCTCCAGCGATTCCCGACCAACCTTCGGCCAATTCACCTCTCCAAGTCTGAACTGTTACGGGCAACCATCCCGAAAGACAACCATCCGAAAGGTTACCGCTAGGCCGCCGGGCGCAAATCCTCGACACGCAGGTAGGTGCGGGTCTCGCCTCGGTAATGCTCTTCCGCCAGCTGAAACACGAGGTCTACCGACCCGTACCCGCCCCATTCGCCCGGGAAGTTCCACCATAGCGCATCAACCGTGCGCTGGCCGCCGCTGACCTGTAGTTTCAGGTGTTGTCCGGCGGCTCCCACAAACCCACTGTTCAGCACACGCAACCGCCTCGACAGAAAGCGAGGGTTCGGGTTGTCTTTCCCGAATGGCTCCAGACGCTTCATAAATTGCGCCAGGGCCGGGTCCATCAACTCGTCCAGACTGCCCTCGGCGTGAATTTCCAGCGTGGGTTCCGGTCCGAACAAACCGGTCCTGGCGTTGGCGATGGCCAGCAGCCGTTCCGACACCGCCCCGAAATCTTCATTGCGTACCGTGAAGCCGGCCGCCGCCTGATGGCCGCCGTACCGCACCAGCAAATCCCGGCACTGCGCGATGGCATCGATCAGGCTGAACCCGGTGTCGCTGCGGGCGCTGGCCACCAGGTGGTCGGCGTCGGCGCGGGCCAGCGCTATCGCCGGCCGATTGAAACGCTCGGACAACCGCCCGGCCACCAGCCCGTTGATGCCCGGCGTATAAACTTCATCGTGGGAGATGATGATGCTCGGCACCTGCTCGTGCGCCAGCACCTGCTCCATGGCAATATCGCAGGCCCGGGCCGTCAGGTCCTTGCGGCGGTCGTTGTACTCTTCCAGTTGGGATACCAGCCGTTCAGCGTCTCGCTCGTTATCGGTCAGCAGCAGGTCCAACGAGGTTTGAGGATGCGCCATGCGGCCAGCCGCGTTGAGCCTGGGCGCAATCTGGAACGAAACATTCTCCGCACGCAGTTCCCGACGCGCCAGCCGACAGCGACGAAGCAGCGCCCGCAGCCCAAGCCGTTGCGTCTGCGCCAGTGATGCCAAACCCTGCTGCACGATGTAGCGGTTTTCATCCCGCAGCGGAACCAGATCAGCCACGGTTCCCAATGCCGCCAGTTCCAGAAGCGAACCGTCCGGCGTTTCGCCCAGGTATTTCAGCAGTCCGGTAGCCAGCTTGTAGGCAATGCCGGCTCCGCACAGCTCCGGATAAGGGTACTGGTTGCCCGGCATACGCGGATTGACGATTGCAATGGCATCGGGCCGGGTTTCCGGCGGGGTGTGATGGTCGGTGATGATGACCTCCGCCCCCGCATCAACCGCGAGACCAACTTCGACCGCATCACTGATGCCGCAATCCACCGTAACGATGAGGGTGACGCCCTGCGCGACGAGGCGGCTCACCGCCCCACTGTTCATGCCATGCCCTTCGGAGACCGGATCCGGCAAGTAGGGAATCACCACCGCCCCGAGCCGCCTGAAGGTTTCGGTCAGGATGGCGGTTCCGGTCATACCGTCAACGTCAAAGTCCCCGAACACGGCAACCGTTTCACCGGTTCTGGTGGCGGTTGCCAGCCGGGGCAGCGCCTCGGCCATGCCGGCCAGCGTCAAAGGGTCGTGAGGCAACCCGGACGGCTCCAGGAATCTGGTCAGGGTTTCCGCGTCGCCGATGCCTCGGGACAGCAGCAACTGAGCGGCGACCGGGGGTAGATCGTTGGGCAGGCGGTTGCCGTCAGTTCTTGGCGGCAGAATCCAGCGACGCGCCGGAGGCTCGTTCACTCCTGGTAATGCCGGTCGGTGGGCGGGTAGCGCCAAACCTAATCGCCCAGGTCGGGGCGGGTCAGGATGATAACGGAGTTATGTCCGCCGAACCCAAACGAGTTACTGAGAATTACATCCAAATCGCCCTTGCGCGCATTGTGCGGCACGTAATCCAAGTCGCACTCGTCGTCCGGGGTCGTCCAGGTTGATCGTGGGCGGCATCAACCCCTCGCGGAGGGCAATGGCGCACAGGGCAGCCTCCAGCGCGCCGCCGGCGCCCAGCAGGTGGCCGGTCATGCTCTTCGTGCTGCTGATTGGGATGCGATAAGCGTCTTCGCCCAGGGCGAGTTTCAGCGCCTTGGTTTCGTGCCAGTCGTTCAACGGCGTAGATGTTCCGTGGGCGTTCAGATAGTCAACGTCGACAGGCGACAATTGAGCCGCCGCCAACGCCGCGGTAACGGCTGCGGCGGCACTTTGCCCGGTGGGGTTGGGTTCAGTCAGATGATGTGAGTCGCTGGTGGCAGCGTACCCGCGCAGTTCCGCCAGCGGTTCCGCGCCCCTCGCCTCGGCGTGTTCCTCGCTTTCCAGCACCAGAATCGCCGACCCTTCTGCCAGCACGAACCCGTCCCGGCTCCGGTTGAAGGGTTGGCTGGCCCGTTGTGGGTCGTCATTCTTACGGGAAAGCGCGCGCAACGCATTGAAGCCGGCAACGGTCAATGGCGTGATGGGCGCCTCAGTACCGCCGGCCAGCACCACTTCGGCCCGTCCGTGGCGAATCATATCCCAGCCGATGCCAATGGCGTCGGCGCCGCTGCTGCACGATGACGTAACGCAGTAGTTTGCGCCCATCGCGCCGGTAACCATCGACACCTGGGCCGACCCCATATCGGCCAGCATCATGGGAATTAGAAACGGCGTAACTCGTCGTGGCCCACGTTCCATCAACACCCGATGCTGCTCAGTCAGGGTGTTGATGCCACCGACTCCGCTGCCCACCACCACATGAACGCTATACCGGTCCATCGAGCGCGGTTCCAGGTTCGCCTGCTGGCAAGCTTCCATAGCGGCCACAGCCGCAAACTGGGAGAATCGATCCATGCGGCGCGCCAGTTTACGGTCCAAATAGTCTTCCGGGGTAAACCCTTTCACTTCGGCGGCGAATCGGGTGTCGAACGCCTCCGCGTCGAAACTCGTTATGTAGTCAATGCCCGACCGACCATTGACCACAGCGTTCCAGGTATCGGAGGTGTTCAATCCCAACGGGCTTATGATTCCCAAGCCCGTAACTACGACTCTATGGCCGGTCGTACCGATTTGGACCATATCAGCTTGCTCGGTTGGAATTCTGGCGCTGACCAGTTGAGTCCAGCACGGAGTTCAGCAGGTCCGTTACTTCGTTCACGCGCACCGAAATACTCGCGGCGACATCCTTGCTGCCGGTGTCTGCCATTTCAGCATAAATCCGCAGTGAATCCGATACTTCGTTGATGCGCGTCCGCAGGTTATCCACAAATTCCGAACGAGCGTTGGACAGCGGCTGACTGACTGAACGGAAAGTCTCCGCCAGCTCCGTCACTCGCAGGTGCAGGTTTTCGCCGAACTCTTTGCCGGCTTGCTGAACCTGTTGCGACCAGTCGCGCATTGTTTCGGTAGTTTCAGACAGGTCTTGCACGCTGCGGGCCTGCCGCATCCGATAGTTGCCCAGGATTCGGAAGATACGGCCGTAAAGGGCATCGATCGAGGTCAACTTGGCGCTGTAACGGTCGAAAAGGTCGCGGCTTTGCGCCATCGTCCATCGTTCGTCTTCGTGTACCAATTGGCGTCCGGTGTAAAGTTCGTAAGGCCGCATCTCGCCCTCTTGCAAGAGATCGCCGTTGGCGTTCAGGGGTTTCAGGTCCCAGTTGGATGTCGCCGGCAGCGGCGTAAGCAGGTTGGCCGTCTGATAACGGCTGTACTGCTTTACCCAGTCAGCCAACGTCATGATGGATTCTTCCGTATCGTAGGGCAAACCGATGATGGTCATGGCCACTACCGAGAAACCCTTCTCGTTCAGGCGTACCAAGTCCTTTTCCATCTGGCCCGGTTCCTGCCGCTTGTTGACCGCCTTCAGGCTTTCGGCATTGTTGGATTCCACTCCGAGATAGAGCATCTTGACGTTGGCATCCAGCAAAGCGTCGGCCAGTTCGTCGTCCTGCCCGATTTCGGCCCGTGCCTGACAGATCATGCCCATGGAGTCGGTGCGGCTTTTCCAGCCTTTCAACCGCTCCAGCCGCTCGTTACGGAACTTCACGGCTCGCAGCGGCGGCGTGTGCAGGTCGTCAGAGATAAACACGTTGATCTTGCCGTTGCGACCGGTGTGAATCAGGCCGTCAGCGGCCAGATCTTCCAGCTGCGCCAGCCGCTTGTACTCGGTTTCCCGCTCTATGAGCCGGTAGCCCAGGAACTGCTGAATTACCTGGCAGTAAGAACAGTTTTCCGTGCAACCGCGCACTGTTTCAATCACGGCCCCCGCCATCGGGGTCGCCGGTGACAAGCCACGTATGGAGCGGTAATCCGGGAGTTCTACAAAGTCCGGACGTACCAGACCCTTGCGCCGGGTTTGCACCAGGTGCCCATCTTGCAAATAAGAGATGCCGGCCACCCGTTCCAGGTAGGTGTACTTGCGATCGTCGCGCCACGTCAGCAAAAATGTCGCACAGCTGGCCGATAATGTCTTCCCCTTCGCGATTCACTATTACATCAAACCCGCCCCGGGCGATGGCTTCCTCGGGCAACGGACTCATTTGCGGGCCGCCGCCCAATATGATCAGGTTGGGATGGAACTCACGCGCTTCCCGAGCCAGTGCATAACCTCGAGGGGTTTCATTAATCAGAGACGTCACCATCAATATGTCGATGCCATCCAGATCACTGTCGGGGTCCATGCGACCCAGGCGGTCTTCAAACCAGATGTCCCGCTCGTACACATATGGGCCGTCCCACTGTTCCAAAGCGCCGGAGAGGTACAGCATGCCTTGGCGCGGTATGGCGATGTATTCAAAGTTTCCGCCAGCCGAAGCCGGCTGAACCATCATCACCCGACGTGTGCGGTCTCCCTTGGGTCTTATCGAAACCGGTGAAACCGTCGCCGGAGTGCCATCGAATTTGTCGCCGAGCAGTTGAATGGTGCTCATTTTCTCACTTACTCCGATGTCTGCGGACAGGAGTGGTTCAAGATTGAGTCTCTCACGAATCGCTCTCGTTATTATACAACATCATCCCGGATGCCAGTTAGCAGTTTTGGTAACCGTTAACGGCCAATTCAGCGACCCGTGAAATGGGGCACGATGTCCTTGGCGATGACTTCCAGATGGCGCCGTCGGTCCTCGCGCGGTGCGGCTACGCTAAAAACGATATAGCGGGCGCCAGCATCAATGTACTCCTGCAACCGTTCGATGCACATCCGGGGAGTGCCCAGCAGGCAATAGCGGCGCACAATGTTTCCAAATTCACCGTCGTAAAGATACTGGCTGCCCAGCGACTCCGCCGCGGTTCTCGCCGCCTGGTCCTCGGTTTGGCCCAGCGAAATGTACGGGAAAAAGGCCCACTGGAAGGACGATAAGTCCCGTTGTTCTTCAACCGCAAACTCGGTGATTTTGTTCACGCTGTCCCGATACCGTTCGGGGCTGTAGAAATAGGGCAGCCAGCCATCGCCATAGCGAACGGCCCGACGCATGGCGGCATGCCGGCGGCCGGCAACCCATACCGGCGGGTGCGGTTTTTGCGTCGGCTTAGGATTGATGGCAGCGTCTTCCAGAGTGTAGTGCCGACCCTTCAGGGTTACCGATTCTTCGGTCCATAACCGACGCAGACCATCCAGGCATTCGTTGGTGCGCTGGCCGCGGCGGGCGATTTCGATGCCGGCGTTCTCATATTCCATGGGAAACTCGCCGCCCACCCCAACGCCCAGCGTGAGCCGCCCGCCCGACGCAATGTCCAGCGTGGCGGTCATGCGCGCCAGCATCAGCGGGTGGTAGAACGGCGCCAGGGTAACCGAGGTTACGATGCGCAATCGTTCGGTAGCGCCGGCGGCCACCGCCAGCAACGGCAACGCCGCATGGGTCGGGCCCGGTGGCCGTCCCCGCATAAAATGCTCGCCGGCTCCCATATACTCGAATCCAAGTTCTTCCATCAGCCGCGCCTGCTCAACGGTGCGGTCTGCCGGCAACGCCATGCTGGCGCCAAAGTGAAGTTCGTTGTTGATGTCAGCCATACTGTCGCAACGATATTCTTTTCATAAACGATGCTCCGCTCATACCTGAATTCAGTAGGGAAAGCAGCCAACCGCCAGCCGTGCCGTCCCACTTTGCCGCGAATTGTACTTTATGGCGACCTGAGGCGCAAAACCCGCCGCGACCGCTGACAGGGCAATCGCGTTTTAGCTGCGTTAGGATTTCAGCAGGTATCCTCCTTCCACCGGCTGGAGGCGTTTCCTTGGATGCCCACCTTTGAGGCTCGTTTCGTTCTTGAGCAGATTATGCGAAACCTGCCGCAGCGTCGCCATGTTCTGGGGAGCGTGGTCCTTGCGGATACGGCAATGGTCTTCGCCAAAGGTCACATCCAGACTCCAATGCAACGAATTCTCAATGCTCCAGTGGGTACGCACCACCCCCAGCAGCCGTTCCGCTGGGCCTCCAGACTGCTGATGTAGTACCGGGGCTGCAACCAGTGTCCCGGCCGGCGTACTCCCTGCGGCCCACCACCTGTGACCACCGAG